TATGCAATGTGAATGATGACGTATGAGTGCTTTTTTCGGAACTATTCTAAGATTCTTGGACATAGTTGGCCTTTACAGCTTCAGCGGACAACTGCAGTGGAATACAGTTTCTAAACCCACGAAAGGACTTATGAAGAGGGTAAAAGGTAACTCCTGTTTGAGAGATCTGAAGTCTTATCTCTCAAACAGGAGTTGAGTCTGTGGGACCTCTATGGTTTCGAACCTTGGCTCAGCAGTAAATTGGATCCCCTGTTTGAAAGCAACAGGGAATCGATCCAATGTTAAGTCATAAGCAATGATGTAAGCACTTTTATTTCCTGTTGCTTTAATTAATTCTACCAATGAATGATTGACTGAACCGATTTAATTGAAATTTGGTATACAGATAGTCTAAATGCTGAGAAAGGACATAGGCTACTTTTCAATGCGAAAGAAGGGTGGAAAGGGGAGATGAAAGGTTGTACGGAAGTCATTTTTAAAGCTAGAGACTGAAACTTATTTTTAAGCTGTTGATTAAATATAAATAATTATGACATTCAACGTTTGTAAAAAAATTTACCTATTAAGGGGGTAAAATAAAATAGGGGATGAAAGTTTGTATGGATATTCCTCATTTTTAAAGCTAGAACGATGAAAAAATTTTTTTTGTATTTTTTTGGTTACATTATCAAATATTTTTTCATTATTTGGTTAAGGTACCATGTCGGCGAAGTCGCGGGCACAACTAGTATTTATACCTATAATAATAATAATACCTATTGATTTAGATAGGTATTATTATTGTGTAATAATTGCATACTGTATAGTGAACTGAAAAGATCGCATAAAAAACTTTGTGCAAATAACAAAATAAATATTTCCTTATTTTAATACCTAAGTACTATGAGGTTACAACAACTAAGTACATTTTTAACTTAGTGACGGTCTCCTAAAAATTTGTTATCTAAATCTAACAGATTCATCTAATACTCAAACGTATATTTAACCGTTCCATTTAGACAAGTAGGTATTTATAAACCTTAATATATAATTAAATAATAAAAACACTTTTTATTTTTCTTTCTCACTACTCCAATATCGTATTGAAGAATTCTAACGTCTTTATCAATTTCGCGATCGTGAGAACTCTACCGAGCCGTTACCACTTTGATACACCGAGGTGTCTACCTACGTGAATCAGCAGTCTCTCTATTAACCCGATACCACTATTACCTGATCCATCTGTCGTCTCCTGATCCCCAACACCGAGACGAAAAAGGGGCGATTAGTCCTCCCTTAAGAGATCTAACAATTTTGGTCATATTACATCTAATGAGTAGTTATCTTTCTCTTCTGAGTGAACGTGTCATAGATAATTCGATTTAATGGCTTGGACCTGTTAATTATCGAATTAGGCACGTCTCTTGTGAGACCATTACACTATTGAGCCGCTGCAATTTTTATTTTAACTTTTTTCCAACTATAGGAATTATTGTAGTGAATGAGTGTAACCTATGGAAATAAATTGATGACCATTAACTAATAAGGTATTCGGTATTAATATTGTATGTGAATGTGTCCTCACATATAACTATGTTCATGCATCGATACCTATACCCCTTTTCGAGCTATCTATACCTACTATTATTCGACCTAAATTAGTTAAAATGAGCAAATATTTAAGTAAATTAATTACTATATTCAAATGATAAAATATATACCTACATTGTACATTTTAGTGGCGCCATCTGGTGTCAAAAGTTCATATGTCACTCGCTTCCGTTATACCAGAAGCTTGCAACCTTTGCAAGGATAAGAATACCTATACAAATGAAAAAAGGAAAATTAGGAGGCAATTTCAAAAAGTGGCGCACCTATACTGGTTTTACCCTCAGAAGATTCTAACGTCAACGACTCTTACATCTCTTTTGATCTGTAAAGTACAAAATATGTGCTACTTCTGAATAGTCCTAATGGCCAACAATAAAAAAAATACTTGACATTGTTTAGAAACAGTTTTAATAAAAAAAAATAACACATTTACATTACATTGAATCTACATCATTTAAATATAAAAAAATAACACATTTACATTACATTGAATCTACATCATTTATACATAATTGCAACAAAAACACTCTACTTAACAATTAATCCTATTTAAATTATTCTTAAATCTTTATCAGTAGTCAAGAAAACAAAAATCCGGAAATTATTAAAGTGAGCTTTTATCAAACTAAAATAAGACGAGTACAATACTGCCTGGCTATTTTAATTTCAATTCCCACTGACAGGTTAACCCGGCTAAATTTCGGAGGCCTTTGTTTTATACAAAACATGATTATTATGTGGGTAGTATATAAATTGGTTGTGTAATACTGTCGGCTTGAGATTATGAGGCGGTCTCTGATTTATAAACAATACGTCAGTGACGTAAGCTTCTTTAGCGGTTCAGATTTATTGCTAGTGATGTACTCATTATTTTAAATGTAGTAAATGATATCGATATTGACAAATTACAGTATTCGTATTCATTAGTATTATTAGTTATGCTTGTTGGTAACTTTGTGTAATAAAATAATATGTCACAACTTTGTTGAGGGCGCCACTATATCTAGTATGTATTAATTATAAATGTAGTATCTGTATAATTAAATAGTATTGTTAGTATAAAAATAATGTAGCAAATAGGTTATATATTTCACAATGATTATCTGTAGAATGCAAATGTTGTTTACGTAATTTAGTCCGAAATGAATACTAGATGGCGCTGTTAGATTTCTGAAACTCGATATTATTTCGTTTTCATCGATTGATATACACGATTGTAAAATTTTATTATTCAGTATTTTGTAACACCATTTTTTTATATCATTATACTCTTTCCCTCGTATGTGGTGTTTCATTTCGAGGTTTTTGGGCTGTCTGAATATCGCGGCGCGGACGTCTTCATTTGGTCCTTCGAGCCGGATTCTAAAAAAAATCGCGTTCGCTTAATATCGCGTCGTAGTGTTTAGACAGTAAAAGGTAAAATGAAGAAAAACAGTTAAGTGAAGAAAAAGTAAAAGTGACAAAAGTGGATAAGTGATTGAAAGTGACAAAGGACTTTGGATATTTAAAGAACAGTGAGTACAAAATAATTAAAAGTGGAACTTAGTGAATTAAAAGTGATTAAAAGTAACTTTGTAGTAAAAAATTTAGTAGACATTCCTAAAAACTTTAAAATTTAATAATCCTAAAAACTTGCAATTTGAATACTCCTAAAAACATTGAATAATTTCTTCTAATCAAATAGAAAATTTGATACTCCTAATAACTTTAGAAATTTGAGTGTTTTGGAACTTTGAAATATAGCAATATTTTATTAACTTGTAACCATATGCATCTGTCAGAGACTTAGAATAATTCGTGTTACATTGCAAGGACTTTAAAATATACTGTTTAAATGACATTTTGTGTTTTCTCTGATTAGTAAATTGTTTTTGTGAATATTTCATTTGGACTTTATTTTGTGATAATTTAACATGGCGAATTTAATTAAAACACAAATGGAATTACATAAACAATTAGACAAGGCTTTAAAAAACTTTAAGAAAACACCTAAAGCTAGACTGACGGAAACATACGCTCAAGTAAAATTAGAATTGTTAGAAGATTTATGGAACAACTTTAAACAAAATCATCAAATATTGATGATAACCACTGAGATTAATATACATGAATCAGATTACATAAAGAATAAATTTATGATTTAACTGAAGATATTTTTACTGCTGCTAAATGTGAGATGAAGGAGATTCTTAAGACATTTTGTTCACCTAATCCGACTTCAGATAGTAATCAGACCACGTCGTCTCAGTCGAAAGCATACAGCTATGGCTCCGGAATTAAAATTACCCCATATTAATATTCCCGTATTTATAAAATATTCCGAGTGGATACCATTTCATGATTTATTTGTGTCGCTTATTCATCGAAATTCAGCACTTATGGACGTAAAAAACTACATTATCTTAAGTCTGAGTCTGAGTGGAGAAGCAGCAACATTATTAAAACACATACCCATAAGTGAAGCTAATTATGAAGATGCGTGGGTGATATTACAAAAGCGATATAATAATAAACGATTTATCGTCACATCTATTCTAAAAAGATTACTGTCACAAAAGTCGCTATCTACAGAATCAGCAGGAACTATTAAAAACCTGCTTGACACAACAAATGAATGTCTAAGTGCATTGAACAATATTGGAGTATACACCTTGAGTTGGGATGCAATTCTAGTTAGATCCAGAATCTATCCGTTTATGGGAACAACAAATCAGTCTAGAAGACGACGGTAATAGCTTGCCGACATTTAAACAATTATGCAGCTACCTTGAGTCACGTTTTCGCACTCTTGAGATGTTGGAATCCACAAAGACCATGTCAAATTCCTAGTACAAGGCAACTACTAACACCTTTCACACGACCTTCAAAACTAGTTGTAAATATTGTCACGGGAATCACTTTATATATCAATGCAAGGAATTTGCCCACCTTACATATACTGATCGCAAACGCTTCGTGGAACAGAACAGATTATGCTACAACTGTTTGATTCCGTATCATACCGTTGACAAATGCAAACAAAGGTCTACATGTCGGAGATGTGGTAAGAAACACCATTCACTTATTCACCCCGAAGGAAACACCTCAGATCATCTTTCTCCAGATGCAGGAGGAAGTTCACACATACGAGATAATAGACAACCTGAAGTAGCTACAACACCAGTCGAACACAATGTAGTGGCCCATTACGCGGACCAGGAAATGACCAAAAATGTGCTGTTGGCCACAGCATTGGTTAAAATTCATACAACAAATGGGACTACATATTCTTTGCGTGCTCTGATAGACCCGGGATCCGAAGGTTCATTTATAACGGAGTCCGCTGCACAGTTCCTTGGATTAAAACTACAGTCAGATGCACAATTAATGGACTGGGCGACAATGACAAAGCAAGTCTCACATCCACTAGCATGGTTACATTCGTTGCACAATCGAGATATGATTCAAACTTCACTGTACCAGTACAGGCGTTTGTTTTGAAGTCGATTACTCGGGCACTACCTGCTCAACGAATACGCGAACAGAACTGGCTACATCTGCACAACTTGGATTTAGCAGATCCATACTTTGACACACCTGGGAAGGTTGATATCCTGTTGAGTGCAGAAATTTACAGTGAGATCCTGAAAGAAGGATTAAGAAAAGGCCCCCGTGGTACCATTATAGCGCAAAATACATACCTCGGGTGGATTTTGTTAGGCCGGTTGCACAATGAGGAGACTATACAAAGCTACAAAATCACGACTAGTATGCATCTAACAATTGAGGATAATTTACTACAAAAATTTTGGGAGATGGAATCTGATTCTAAACATGAGAAGATTCTTACTGAAGAGGAGAGTCGATGTGAGAAAATGTATGAGGAGACTTATACTAGAGATAAAAGTGGTAGATTTATAGTACGCCTACCATTTAAAGAAGCAAATCCACCTTGTCAATATGGATCATCGAGAGATATAGCTGAAGGACGACTGATACAATTGGAGAAGAGATTTACAAAAGATTCTGATTTAATGAAACAATACAGTCATGTCATGAAGGAGTACCTAAATTTAGATTTCATGGAAGAGATAGTTGAGGAACATGATCGACAGATACCAACAGCTGTTTATATACCTCATCATGCCGTGATTAATCCGAAAAAGACGACAGTGAGAGTTGTAATGGATGCTTCGTGTAAATACAAAAACGGAACTTCACTCAATGATAGTCTCATGGTTGGTCCTCGTCTTCAACCAGATTTACGCCACATCATTCTACGATGGCGATACCACAAGATCTGTTTAGTGGCCGACATTACAAAAATGTATTTGCAAATTAAAGTTGACGAAGAAAGTTCAAATTATCAACGTCTCCTTTGGAGAAACAATTCTACTGAAGACATTAAACATTATAGAATGACCAGAGTCACTTTCGGTACTGCCAGCGCTCCTTATTTAGCGACAAAAACACTGCATCAGCTTGCAAAGGAGGAGACGAATAAGTATCCCTTGGCCTCAAAAATTACAACTACAGATTTTTATATGGACGACTTATTATCAGGTGCAGATACAATAGAAACCGCTAAAAAGATTTATGATGAGATGAATGGATTAATGGCTGCTGGCAAGTTTCAGTTACAGAAGTGGAATACTAATGATACAGAGCTTCTAAGTTATATGAGAAAAGCAGATGATGAAGTTACTGAGTTAGAGTTTCAACTGGAAGGTACAATTAAAACATTAGGAATAGTATGGGACAGAACAAAAGATGAGTTTCAGTATTCAGTAGATATTCCAGATATATCATCTCCAGTGACAAAAAGATCTATTGCACGAGATGTAGCCAAATTATTTGATCCAATGGGATGGCTTGCGCCAGTTATCATCATTGGTAAGATTTTTTTGCAGAAGCTATGGCTTACTGGTGTAACCTGGGACCAAGAAGTGCCTAGTGACTTGGCATATAATTGGCTCAAGTTCAGAGAAGAATTACACTGTTTATCTGATATTACTGTAGAGAGATGGTTAAATACAACTAGTTTAGATACAAAACTAGAACTTTATGGATTCTCAGATGCCTCCACTGTAGCATACGGGGCAGTAGTGTATGCAAGAGTTACAGATTCTACCCATAAAATCCATATTCATTTAATTTCAGCTCGCACTAAGGTGGCTCCTGTAAAAACTATATCGTTGCCACGTTTGGAGTTATGTGGAGCGGTCTTATTAACACGGCTGCTTATTGAGATTGCAGAACATTTGAATATACCAAGACAGCACATTTATGCATACACTGACTCGAACGTCGTATTATCTTGGCTACAGAAACATCCAAGCACATGGAAGACATTTGTGGCAAATAGGACATCTGAGATAATAACCTCATTACCTGGTCATCATTGGTTTCATGTACCATCCAAGGAGAACCCTGCTGATCTAGCATCTCGAGGAGTTACTGCATCTAAGTTAAAGAAAGAGACATTATGGTGGAAAGGGCCAGAATGGCTGAGAAGAGATACTATACAACATATGATAACCCTACCAGATTTGAAAGAAGGAGAAATAGAACAAAGACCGGTAAAAGTATTTACAACACAGATAGAGAATAACTTTTCAGAAATATTTACACGATTTTCTACAGTGACAAGACTACAGAGAGTAATAGCACTTTGTAAACGTTTCGGACAGATAAGGATAAACAAATTCCCAAAATATGTAACAGCTGAAGAATTAGACAATGCATTGAAAGCATGCATCCTTATATGTCAGCAAGAAGAATTTTCTAAGGATATAGCGAGTATTAAGGACAGTAAAGCTGTAAAACAATACAGCAATCTGCGATCTCTTAGTCCATTTTTAGATAAAAACGGCATATTAAGAGTCGGAGGTCGTTTACGACACGCTAATATTCCTGAAGAAGCGAAACATCAGATAATTTTGCCCGATTGTCATTATTTATCCAAACTAATTATCGCAAATGCACATAAAAAAACTTTACATGGGGGTCCAACTCTCATGCTAAGTTTCTTGAGACAGAATTACTGGATTCTCGGTGTCAAGAGAATGATTAAGCAAGAAGTGCATAGATGTGTTATCTGTGCCAGACACCGTGCAACTATTGGTACACAATTAATGGCCGATCTACCTCCCCAAAGAGTAACACCCACAAGACCCTTTTTGCATAGCGGAGTTGATTTTGCTGGACCTGTGGACTTGCGTATATCTAAGGGTCGAGGTTGTAAAACGTCTAAGGGTTATCTATGTATATTTATTTGCATGGCAACAAAGGCCATTCACATTGAAATTGTAAGCAGTTTAGAGAGTGCCGATTTTATTGCTGCGTTCAAACGATTTACCGCTACGAGGACACTGCCGTCACATGTGGAGCGACAATGCCACTAACTTTATCGCTGGTAACAAGGAGTTACGAGCCCTGTTAAAAGAACAATTGCGCACTGTTAATGGAGAAATTTTAGACATGCTTGCTAGAGATGGCACTGAATGGCATAACATCCCACCAAATGCGCCCCATTTCGGAGGCATATGGGAAGCAAGCGTGCGCTCGATTAAATTTCACCTGAAGAGGATTCTTGGCAATACCACATTAACTTATGAGGAGATGGCTACGGTTACGGCTCAAGTTGAAGCCTGCTTAAATTCTCGACCCATTTCGCCAATTAGTGATGATATTAATGATTTACAACCTCTAACACCTGGTCATTTTTTGATAGGAGTACCACCTATTATAGTTCCGGAAAGATCGTACATCACAGATAATATAAACCGTTTAAATCGTTGGCAGTTAGTACAGAGAATGGTACAACATTTTTGGGACAGATGGACTCGCGAATATTTGAGCAGACTTCAACAGAGACCGAAATGGACAAAAACACACAATAACGATATTAAAATAGGAGATCTCGTTATTGTAAAGAACGAAAATTTACCACCCGGGAAGTGGTCCCTTGCCAGAATCATTGATGTACATCCAGGAGACGACGGTTTGATTCGTGTTGTTAGTTTAAGATGTAGAAATTCTGTAATTAAGCGTCCACTCATCAAGATATGTCGCCTTCCAATAGACCCTTATGTTTCATAAAGATATTTATTAAAATTTAGATATACATTGCACGGTGGGCGGTTGTTGGAAGAACAGCATGTTCTTGGTGGGCGGAATGTTGAGGGCGCCACTATATCTAGTATGTATTAATTATAAATGTAGTATCTGTATAATTAAATAGTATTGTTAGTATAAAAATAATGTAGCAAATAGGTTATATATCTCACAATGATTGCATCTGTAGAATGCAAATGTTTACGTAATTTAGTTCCGAAATGAATACTAGATGGCGCTGTTAGATTTCTGAAACTCGATATTATTTCGTTTTCATCGATTGATATACACGATTGTAAAATTTTATTATTCAGTATTTTGTAACACCATTTTTTTATATCATTATACTCTTTCCCTCGTATGTGGTGTTTCATTTCGAGGTTTTTGGGCTGTCTGAATATCGCGGCGCGGACGTCTTCACACTTATGGTATTAATTATTAGTTTTTTATAAAAACTAATAACAATATATTTTATCGAATTAAGTTATTCTAGTGATCAAATTCTAAATTACGACTATGACTTGACTTGACGTGTTGGATTGGTCATGTCGGTATAGCTGTAAAGGTCAGCAATGGTTAAGAGCATTAAAATAATTCGAAAATTAACATATCTATATATATTAATGTAACGACGAAATTAAATTTGTACTTTGATCTAATAATTACAAAATAAAAATGGATAATAACAATAATTTTAATATACTGTTGTTATGTAGCCATATATGTAGGTATATATGAGTATTTGTTTGAATCACGCGGACTAAATTGCGAGCTCAGCATACAATAAAAACCTACATTACCTATTATCATAAAAACAATCTATTGTTTTATTCGTTTTATATATTTTAATAAAATGTACATTGCTTAGGAAACTACTGAGCTGTTTAATTCTATTAGTATATAAAATAGTAGTGTCTTAGATATACATGAGTACACAAAACATTAAAAAACGAAATTGATCTATTGACAAATTACGTTTTATCGAGTCCAATGGTAGCGCATCACTAGTCGTCATTCCGACAATCTTGAATCAACCCGTTCATAAGCATTACTACTACAAACATATTTTTATATCCCATCTCTCTCGTGCTGGCACTTTCTTCACTTCCATCTCGCTCGCACATCAATAAGTGATCCCTTTGTGGTGTCGCGGCGGCTTCTTTGAAGTGAGACCGCGAGACCACGCCCCCGCCCCGCCCCGCTACCCGCTGCCCTGTAGTTAATTCGTTACAACTCACACTTAACGACAATGCTTTTAATTATTCATTAACAGAAATGTCCGGTTGCGGAATGTAGAAGTTAGTCTCAAGAATTATGGATTGATCCTACTTAAATCAGATTAGCGATCTCTGTCACACTCTACATCCTGTCCTTTTCCATTTTATTAAATAGTTATGTACAGCTTCAAGACAGTTATCCCAGAAGGGTTGTTGGGCAGCGACATTAAAAAAGTAGACGAGTCACGTGGTGAATGCAATATTTGATATACCTCCGTTTCACGGGGTATATTTGTATTCAACGTATTATACGTCGATTTATACTTCTTACTGATTCTCCAGTGATTGAAACACCGATAACAAAGCAAATTAATCCAAGAATATTATATTTACCTAGCAAATCATGTCAACTTAATTGTCCAAAGTTACGTTGTCAGCAACATCATAGATTAAGTTGTCTTTACCACATCTGGGATAAGAGTCGTACCTATGTCATTATAATTAATGCCTAAGTTAAGATTATCGTATACTTATTTTAATATAATTATATATATTATTATGTAAGTAAATTAAAATTAATTTATGATGCAGTAAAAGGACATTAAAAACCAGTAAAGATTATAAAGAACATCGTATAGTATCTACCTATCTATTGTACAAACTTCGAGCACCCGAAAACAAGGTGCGGAACATAAACTAGCATAACTGTCGAAATTCCATTTTAGTGCGTTGTACTTCATTTAAATATATGTGAACACTAAGATTCTAGTAATCCGTAGAGGAGGCACACTTCGAACTGCGATATCCGAGCACCGGAGAATTCTGAACACACTCTTACGTAATTACAGCCCACCGCTTCAAAGGTGCCGCCGTGGCCAGCGGCGCCTTTGTACTCTAATAAACGAGAATTAACTCACAAATAAATATACACCTTATAACATTCTCATTCAAGTATCATTTTTCTGTGAATCAAACTAGTTTTCTTAACACCTTAACAGAGTAAAGGGTCATATCAGTTAGGGATTTTGCCACGGATACGTCAAAAGAGGTTTTATTGCGGCACTAAATGAGGGACCGCACGGGGAGAACGAACGAATTAGGTCATTCGGATATTATATTTATAAGAGGCTGTTTTGTGATTGATTTCTTTGTAGATTCCATTTAAAATCGTACGTGATGACAGCAATTGTCGTTGATCATTGCTAATGATATAAGTAATTTTTATGACTGATTATACGCAAGAGTAACGAATAGATATTTACAACAAACATACAACTTACAACGACATTCCCATTTATTTGCGATATTTTTATCACATGTGTGATATATAAAAAAAATATTTTTAAATCAAACCGATTATATGTACAAGCACACCACTTATAACGATATTCCCTAATCCATTTAGGTATTTGCGATTTGCCACCATTGTAATATACAAACTCATAATTGTATTTTTGAACAACCTTTTTTGCCTAAGCAAGCTTGAGGTAAAATAGGCAAGTGTAACTATAATTTTAAGTGTCATTCATAAATTAGGTACTATATCACTAGTCTAGGGGTGAGGAGGGGATCGACTGTGTGTGACATTATGTAACAAGTGTAACTGTAAGGAGTAGTCATAAATTTCATGATGTCTCATTTTTCAATGAGAGTTAAAGTTAGGTATTAAGTAAATTTGAAATGGCGGTTTGTTTCTAGATAGTTAATTGTAAAAATGTGACGTCAAAATAGGGAGGGGGAGTCTTGTAAATGTGTCCAGCTGTTGATGGGGGTTGATTGCGAAGTGAATGCGAGTGACTTTTATGAATTGAATTTTTTTAATATCGATGTTCTATCAACCATTTCAGGGCAACTTCTCATGGAAGAACTGAATATATTTCTGATATTTTTCTGTAAATGTGTTGTGTTGTTATTGCAGTTTTAAACATTTGTTTTCATATTAAATTTTTATTAATTTATTCTAAGAATAGTAAAGTCGATTCAATTCTTCAATACTTAATAGGTACATAGATAGAGATACCTATTTGAATCGCAATGCGTTAAATATGTACAACAAATTCGTGCTGCGACATCAAATAAATTTATAAAACATGTTTCATAATAAACGAAGTTATAAAAGGCCCTATATCAGTTTACGCCTGCAGTATTTATTTGTTTTAATAACAATGTCGTAGCGTGTTCGTAAGCCGTAAATATCAACAATAACATGTTTTATTGTCGTTACACGTCGCTTGAACAAATCGATCGTAGTCTATGGTAGTCTATTAATGTACTGATGTGTACGTATATATCTAAGTATTTACCATACACGAGGACCGAAACTGATTCTTAAATAGGTAAAAAGAAATTTGGGGCTTACAATAGTTGTGACTGGTAGACGCGATAGATAGAATGAGGTTAGAGATTACGAACCGTTTATATTTGTTATCTGTGCTAATACTGAGTAAATTACACTAAAAAAATATTTATTAATGACTGGAAACTTTAGTCATAAATATATTGATTAATTAGTATGTACTGAAAAATTGACTGACAAACATAGTTGTGCAAGTTAGTAACTAAATAAACTAGGATTTTTATTTATCTCAATTTATTATGAATAGTGAGTATTTCAATACGAGTTAATTTATAAATAAACAAACGTTAGTAATAACAAAAAAAAATTGTTGTTCTTTTATATTCAGTACCAACTGTACCGAAGATTGATGCTACAGAAGTACCTAAAATGTCATAACAATACCTAATAATTTAGGTAATTAAGTACTACTGCAGTTACTTTAATACCACCCATTTTGATTCACTCCTGTTTTTGTGAGTTTTCACAAAAACAGGAACCTACTTGCGGCGTGAAGACAAAAACTTACAGGTTAAGTCTGAGTGATGAGTCTGACGGTTCGAGGTTCAAATGCTGCAATGTCAATTGTTCAAAAGTGGATACTTAGGTAATGTTACTGTAGTAAAGAGTAGTACCAATAGTTTTAGTAACTAAGTGTTGGTTCACGCGTCGTTTATTTTACGTCTCTACTGAGTAACGTTCTTTGACATCATAAAATACGGTACAATTAGGTATA